CTTCCATGTATTTATCGCTCAGACTGTCCACCCTCTTTTAACTGCTGGAACAGACCATTGAATCTGTCCTGACAAAATCCACTACCACCTACTTAGTGCTACTTCCTAGCACTAGGCCCATTGCCTTGCATATTGTGACACTTCAAGAGCTCATCCAAGTGTTATTTTAAAGTTTGTGACGTTTCTTGCCTCCACTCTCTCCCCAGGCTGTGCATTCCAGACCACCTCCACCCCCCAACCTTTTGGGTGAAAAAGATTCTCAAATCTCTCTTCCCGCTACCTTTCAAATATAAGCTTGGATTTAAGATTCTATACCACATTTTCTCACAATGAGATTTTACCATGTTAACTATTAATTAAAGATTAACATTCCAACCACATTTTCAGTTTAATACAGATTCTGTCCCAAGTTGTGAAATGGTATCTTAGAAGGATTGCACACTGTCTCTCCTTGTCTCTCCGTGCACCTCCCTGTCTTTCTGTGAGTTACTGAGAGACAGACTGAGAGAGTGCCGCGCTGTCGGAGGTTCAGTACTGAGGAAGTGCTGCACTCTCGGAGGTTCAGTACTGAGGAAGTGCTGCACTCTCGGAGGTTCAGTACTGAGGGAGTGCCGCACTGTTGGAGGGTCAGGGCTGAGGGAGTGCCGCACTGTCGGAGGGTCAGTACTGAGTAAATGTTGCACTGTTGGAGGTTCAGTACTGAGGGAGTGCCGCACTGTTGGAGGATCAGTACTGAGGGAGTGCCGCACTGTTGGAGGATCAGTACTGAGGGAGTGCCGCACTGTCGGAGGATCAGTACTGAGGAAGTGCTGCACTCTCGGAGGTTCAGTACTGAGGGAGTGCCGCACTGTTGGAGGGTCAGGGCTGAGGGACTGCCACACTGTCGGAGGGTCAGTGCTGAGGGAGTGCCACAAGGGTGACCAGGGATGGGCAACAGTTGTTGACCTCACCTATATCCTTTGGATAAAGGCAGAAACAAAAACCTTGCCAAGTACCATCCCTCAGACAGGAAGCACGGCCTTGAGCCTCTGACTACCTGCCATTTTAATCCTTGGTCCCATTCCTGCTCTGACCTGTCTGTCCTTGGTCAGCAGCATTTTTCCATGAAAGTCAGCATCAGCTCAGGGAACAACACCTCATCTTTCCATCAACCTCCAGAAAAGATTTACCAGGATGTTGCTAGGAATGGAGGGTTTGAGTAATAAGGAGAGGTTGCATAGGCTGGGACTCTTTTCACTGGAGCATAGGAGGCTTTTGGGTGATCTTACAGAGGTTTATAAAAACATGGGAGGCATAGATAAGGTGAACAGCAAAGGATGGGGGTATATTTTTATGGTCAGAGGCGAAAGATTTAAAAGGGACCTGAGGGGCAACTTTGTCACACTGAGGGTTGTTTGTGTGTAGAACAAGCTGCCAGGGGAAGTAGTAGAGGTGGGTACAATTACTACATTTAAAAGACATTTGGACAGGTACAATGGATAGGAAAGCTTTAGAAGAATATCAGCTAAACACAAGCAAGTGGGACTAGTTTAGTTTTGGAAACTTGGTCAGCATGAAAGAGTTAGACTGAAGGGCCTGTTTCTGCACTGTATGACTCTGACTTTATGACTATATAATTGCATTAACTTCAAGTCGACATATAATCAGCAGCCAGTCTGAAGTGGTAAAAGGTACAGGATCGAGCTGTCAGTTTTACTTTGTCGAAGACTAGTTCTGGTTTCATTTCTGTTGAAATAAATCCGAGGAATGAGTAATTGTAGCTGATGGCAGGAGCAGTTTTAAAGGAGGGCTTTGCAATAGTGGGTGAGCAGGTGGGATGCATTCTCAGAACTAATAACTGTACCACAAAGCTGTGAGGATTTTCGGTTCTCCTTTCTGAGCTAAAATATATTCTGCAATTTTTAACTTAACAAGTGTGTGAAAGGAGACTAGGCTGTACTTCAGTGAATCGCTCTAAACCCTCTTTCTGCCCAATGAATAAGTCTGTGATTCTATGTGATGAAGGAAATCTTTATGAGGCAATAGGGTCTGCCACAACACTCCATCAATGTATCCACTCCTGGAAAAGGAGATAAAGTAGGAGACTGTGGGAGAGCAGGAAAAGATAAGACTCTGCTCAAACACGGCTGAGGGCTTAGAAAGGGTGAGAAGACTTGGAGAAAGGAGATGACAAACGGAGAAGTTTGAGATTTCCGGATGACACGACAATAGGCGAAAGGCAAACGATGATGTTCCCGATGACCAGGGAGTCTAAAGAAAAAAAGTCAGTTTCCAGGTAGGTGTTGAGATGTTTAGTAAATGGTCAAAAAAATTGGCAAATGGAGTGTAAAATGAGAACATGTCAATTTGTTACTTTTGAAGGGAGAACAAGAGTTCTTCCAGCAATTTCTGTGTTTGTGCATAGATGCAGTTCCCTGAAGCCCACTCCATGGGACATTTATTGCAGAGACATGAAAGATGAAAAATAATTCAAGTTAATTCCATCTTGTTGGAACATTAAAAATACTTCACATGTTTACAGTCACACCAGAGAGAAGGAGATCTCCGACAGTGAGGGTGGACATACATAACCAGAGAGAATCCTATCACATAAATCTTTATTCAAGTTTACATTTCCAAAAATTTCCACCAGATTATGTCCAACCATCATTTGACAGCACAAAGCATGAATCTTGCTGGAGAGACATTAGTTGCCGAAGCCTTTGGTTTTGGCACTTGTCAAGCCAAATACGAGAATGCTATGTTTTTAACAATCACAACAATTTAGATTTCTAGAGGGAAGGCTGCTGATTGGTTAGCAAGTTTATAGTATTTGATCGAGGCATCGTCATGGACAAAGCAACATGAAACTATTGGCTTGTGAGCTCCCAGATAATCCGGGTGCAATGTATTTCAAAAACGGCTCAAGGCTTGAACATCCTCTTCTTGTTTGCTGAGAGAGGGAACCTTTGTGTGAAAGTACTTCTCTTCTAGCAAGTGAAAATGAGCCACTTTACATGCTTGTCTGAGTAATTTGTTGTTAGCACACTCTGGATTGTCCAACTAATGTCATCCCCAATCGCATAATTACATCTGACAGTAGGTATGTTGTTTTAAATTTTGCTTCTGTGGCTTTACAGAGCAGCTGCATAGGTATTGCTTCTGTCTGTGAGGTTGAGGTCCTGAAGATTAAGTCCCAACCTCAGGATTTACTGGCTGTGAGCAAACCATGATTACGGAGCATGGATTTAAACTGATTGAAAGAGGGATGGGGGATGGGGGGATGGGGGGCCGGGGCGGGGGGTGGAGATGGGGGAGATCATGCTTTCTGATTTATTTGAGTTTTATGAGGATGTCTCAACCAGAGTGGATAGAGGAGAGCCAGTGGTTGTGTTGAATTTGGACTTCCAGAAGGCGTTTGACAAGGTACCTTGCAAAAGGTTGTTATAAGTTAAGAGGCCATGGCGTAGGAAGTGGTTTATTGTCATGGATGGAGCACAGGCTCATGGGCAGGTGACAGTGAGGGGAGATAAGAGGTTCTTTTTCAGGTTGGCAACACTTGACCAGTGGTGTTCCACAGGGATCATTGCTGGGACCACAACAGTTTACAAAACGTATTAATGACTTGGAGACAGGAAGTGAATGTACTATAGCCAGATTTGCAGATGACAAAAAAAAGGTGGCAAGGCATAGGGATACAAAGATTTACAGAGAGATATTAACATGTTAAGTGGGTGGGCCAAACATTGGCAAATGGCTTACAATGTGGGAAAATGTGAAGCTGTTCATTTTGGTAGGGAAAACAAAAGAGTATTGTTTAAATTAAGAAAAACTGCAGAAACTGCAACACAAAGGGAGTTGGGGATATATGTGCACAAAACACAGAAAGCAAGTACAGAGATGCAGGAGGTAGTCAGGAAGGCTAATGGAATGTTAGCCCTTACTTCAAAGGATTGACCATTATTACAGAATAATAGTACAGAAATCTTACTACAACTGTACAAAGTGCTGGTGAGACCCCATCTGGAGCACTGAGATCAGGTTTGGCCCCCTTATTTAAGGAAAGATCATTTCATTGAAGGCAGTTCAGAGAAGGTTCACTCGGATGATACCCAGAATGGAGGGATTGCCTTATGAGCAAAGGTTAAGCAGGTTGGGACTCTACTCACTGGAGTTCAGAAGAATGAGAGATGATCTCATTGAAATAAATAGGATTCTGAAGGGGCTTGACAGGGTAAATACTGAAAGGATGTTTCCCCTTCATGGGAGAGTCTAAGACCAGAGGGCATAGTCTCAGAATAAAGGGGTGTCAATTTAAAACTGAGATGAGGAGGAGTTTCTTCTCTCCAAGAGTTGTGAGTCTTTAGAACTCCTTGCTACAGAGAGTTGTGGGGACAGAGACCTTTCATATATTTAAGGCTGAGGTTGATTTTTGATCAGTCAAGGAATCAAGAGTTATGGAGAAAGGGTAGAAATGTGGACATGAGGAATGTCAGATCAGCCATTATCCTACTGAGTGGCATGGCAGGCTTGAGGAGCCAAATGGCCTACTCCTGTTCCTATTTCTTATGGTCTTATGGAACATAAGCAAAGATTCTCCACCCAAGGGAATTGTGTACCTGGAACTTACTACCTGAAAAGGTGATCAAGGCAGAAACCTTCATCTTGGTTAAGAACTGTCTGCACATTGGCACATACACTTGTGCAGTCCAGTATCTTCTAGGGATACAGACCACATGCTGGAAAATAGGATAAGACTGGGCAGCTGGCTTCCCAACTGGCACGGACACAATGGGCAGAGTGGTCTTTTCCATATTGCATCATTTCACATTACCGAAATATTCAAAATCCAAAAAACGGTGAGGAGTTGAAATGTTGGTAGAGGGCCTTTGCAAGGATTGCTCATTTGGAGGGCCAGAATATATATGATGGGCTGAATGGCCTTGATTGGTGCTGTAATAATTCCAGGTTTTAATTGTTCTGCTTTCTCTGTGATTACATGACCCTCGTTCCAGTTCTGTTTATATATTTCCGTACACAGGATCCTGATCCCACTGGCAGTTTACATATATTTTATCTAGGTATGAATTCAGGGGAGGGTTAGATTCCATTTCTAGCCCCTGGTCATCTTTCCACAGTAATAGAAAGGGAAATGAGAGGAATGACAATCAAAGTAATCAGTGTTTTGTATTATTGACCACAATAAAAAATACTGCATACAAATACAATACTTTGCACCATCAGTAAATTTAGCAACTTGCACAATGAGTTCTTATTATTGTTTAGATTGTAAATTGTTAAGTCCCTAGCACTGATCCCTGTGGCACTCCACCAGTTATATCTTACCATCTTCAAAATGACCCATTTATCCTTCCTCTCCGTTTCCTCTTTGCTAAGCAACTCTCTGTCCATGCTAACATGTAACTAGCTGCACTAAGAGCACTTTCTACATTTAGTAAATTTTGATGTAGGTCTTTGCTAAATGCTTTCTGGAAATGCAAGTATGTCACATCTACAGATTTCCTGTTATCCACAAAACTTGCAATTTCCTCGGTAAATTATCTCAAAGTAATCAAGTACGATTTTCCTTTCACAAAATGATGTTGACTCTGCCCTGAAGGCAATAGTTTTACCAAAATTTCATAAACTCCTTAATAATGGATTCTAGCATTTTCTGATACAACAACCAAGAAGCTTAATTGGCTGAAGTTTTCAACTTTCTGTCACCTTTCTTTTCTGAGCATAGGGGTAATATTCACAACTTTCCAATCCGAGAGAGACTGGGGCAACTTTGGAAAATTAGAACCAGTGCTTTAACTCCCCTGCTTTTAAGACCCGGGGAGTTTTTTCACATACAATCCCTACAGTGTGGAAACAGGTCCTTCGGCCCAACAAGTCCACACCAATCCTTGGAGCATCCCACCCAGAACCATCCCCTTATAACCCATCTAAGCTACGCATCCCTGAACACTACGGGCAATTTAGCATGATCAATCCACCTACCCTGCACATCTTTGGACTATGGGAGGAAACCGGAGTACCCAGAGGAAACCCACACAGACACAGGGAGAATGCGCAGACTCAAAGAACAATGAAAAAAGAACAAAGAAAATTACAGCACAGCAACAGGCCCTTCAGCCCTCCAAGCCTGCGCCGATCCAGATCCTCTATCTAAACCTGTCACCTATTTTCCAAGGATCTGTATCCCTCTGCTCTCTATCCATTCATGTATCTGTCTAGATACATCTTAAATGACGCTATCATGCCCGCCTCTACCACCTCCACTGGCAACGCGTTCCAGGCACCCACCACCCTCTGCAAAAGAACTTTCCACGCATATCTCCCTAAAACTTTTCCCCTCTCACCTTGAAATCGTGACCCCTAGTAATTGAGTCCCCCACTCTGGGAAAAAGCTTCTTGCTATCCACCCTGTCTATACCTCTCATGATTTTGTAGACCTCAATCAGATCCCCCCTCAACCTCCGTCTTTCTAATGTAAATAATCCTAATCTACTCAACCCCTCTTCATAGCTAGCGCCCTCCATACCAGGCAACATCCTGGTGAACTTCGTCCTACCCTCTCCAAAGCATCCACATCCTTTTGGTAATGTGGCGACCAGAACTGTACACAGTATTCCAAATGTGGTCGAACCAAAGTCCTATACAACTGTAATATGACCTGCCAACTCTTGTACTCAATACCCCGTCCGATAAGTGAAAGCATGCTGTATGCCTTCTTGACCACTCTATCAACCTGCGTTGCCACCTTCAGGGTACAATGGACCTGAACACCCAGATCTCTCTGTGTATCAATCTTCCCCAGGGCTTTTCCATTTACCATATAGTTCGCTCTTGAATTGGATCTTCCAAAATGCATCACCTCGCATTTGCCTGGATTGAACTCCATCTGCCATTTCTCCGCCCAACTCTTCAATCTATCTATATTCTCTGCATTCTCCGACAGTCCCCTTCACTATATGCTACTCCACCAATCTTAGTGTCATCTGCAAACTTGCTAATCAGACCATCTATACCTCCAGATCATTTATGTATATCACAAACAACAGTGGTCCCAACACGGATCCCTGTGGAACACCACTGGTCACAGTTCTCCATTTTGAGAAACTCCCTTCCACTCCAACTCTGTCTCCTGTTGCTTAGCCAGTTCTCTATCCATCTAGCTAGTAAACCCTGGATCCCATGTGACTGCACTTTCTCCATCAGCCTACCATGGGGAGCCTTATCAAACGCCTTACTGAAGTCCATGTATATGACATCCACAGCCCTTCCCTCATCTATCAACTTTGTCACTTCCTCAAAGAATTTTATCAAGTTGGTAAGACATGATCTTCCCTGCACAAAGCCATGCTGCCTATCACTAATAAGCCCATTTTCTTCCAAATGTAAATAGATCCTATCCCTCAGTATCTTCTCCAGCAGCTCACCGGTCCATAATTACCTGGATTATCCTTGCTACTCTTCTTAAACAAGGGGACAACATTAGCAATTCTCCAGTCCTCCGGGATCTCACCCATGCTCAAGTATGCTGCAAAGATATCTGTTAAGGCCCCAGCTATTTCCTCTCTTGCTTCCCTCAGTAACCGAGGATAGATCCCATCCAGACCTGGGGACTTGTCCACCCTAATGCCTTTTAGAATACCTGACATTTCCCTCCTCCTTATGCCGACTTGACCTAGAGTAATCAACCATCTATCCCTAACCTCAACATTCGTCATGTCCCTCTCCTCAGTGAATACCAACGCAAAGTACTCATTAAGAATCTCACTCATTTTCTCTGACTCCTCGCATAACCTCCTTTGTCCTTGAGTGGGCCAACCTTTTCTCTCGTTACCCTCTTGCTCCTTATGTATGAATAAAAGGCTTTGGGATTTTCCTTAACCCTGTTTGCTAAAGATCATTCATGACCCCTTTTAGCCCTCTTAATTCCTCATTTCAGATTGGTCCTACTTTCCCGATCAGGCAGTCACCCAAGAGTGGAATTGAACCCAGGTCCCTGGTGCTGTGAGGCAGTAGTGCTAGCCACTGAGCCACCGTGTCATCCTGAGGTGGTGAATGTTGGTTTAACTCTAATCCTCTTCACTTTTGTCCCTCCTCAGCAGCTCTGTGGTCGATTATACGGGTCAAACATGTGATAACTGAAGCCTTATTGAGAGTGAAGTAGGAAAATGCCATGCAGAAGGATGTCATTCCTTTATCTTAGTATGTTGGAATCTGCCAATCTAATCACAGAAACGCTGCAATGCATGCTCCCAGACATGGCAAAGAGTTCTTACCTGGTTCACTTTGGCTTGTGTGAAAAATGCTTTAACGTAAATCTCCTGCTTCTGATCTGGTCTCATTGACATTGTTTTCGACTTTGTGACTGAGACTGCCTTCTCTGTTCTTTTGGTTCCATTTCCTTGTGGCCTGAAGACACATTTTTTTTCCAGGCAAAATGACAAACTTGAGGAAGAACGAAGAGAGAGTCCCACATACTTCCCACATACATCAATGATGTTATTACACATTTTTGGAGATCGTGGGACTTGAAAGAGTAGAGTCCTCAAGTACAGTTGTTAATCAATCTGCTCAGGCAGACCTCTGAGGTAGGTGGGACTTGAACCCAGATCATCTGGCCTAAAGGTAGTGATACTACCAATGAATGCAGCACAGGAGCAGCTCCTTAAGAGACAGCCCCACTGCACCCACTGAAACAGATGGCAGGTTATCTTAATTTGATTGTACTTCACTAATTGTGGATGGCTCACTGTCTAAAATCTGGTAGTGGTCCCCCAGGATTAAACTGGGCAGGGATTCATGAAGTGAGAATTGTCCAGGGCTTTCAGGACAGGGACATCTTGAGAGGTTAGAGGAGAAATGTCATTTCACAGAGAATTCAGAAGTGATACATTTCAAGAGGAGGTGATGGCTCTTTGAAAGGTCTATCCTTTCAGTCTCTACTTCCCCAACCCGCTCTTCCCCACCAATTCCTTGCAAATATTTCCCTAATTCCCCACTTTCAAAAGTTTATGTTGAATCTGCCTCCCCTTGAGAAGATGGTGGTGAGCTGCATTCTGGAATCACTGCAGTCCAGCTGCTGTAGGTAGATCCACAAAGCCCTTAGGGAGGAAATTTCAAAGGATTTGGACCCAATGACAGTGAAGGAACAGTGATATATTTCCAAGTCAGGATGGTGAGTGGCTTGGAGGGGAACTTGTAGGGTGTGGTGTTCCTAGGGAAGAACAAAGGTTGGCCTTTGTTCTTCCAGGTGGAATTGGTCAAGGGTTTGGAAGGTGCTGCCACAGGAACCTTGTTATGTAGCTACAGATGTACTTCAGAAATTTAATTAGATACAGGCAGCACCTCTCAGATCAGAACAATATTTAGCTGTATCGAAATCAAATTTCAATCTTTGACCGTGGTGGAATTCAAACCCAGGTCCCCAAGAGGAAGTTACAGAGATAGGGAGGGGTGTGCGGGCTGGGGGAGAAGATTACAGAGACAGGGAGAGGTGTAGAGTCTGAAGGAGGTTACAGAGATAGGGGTTTGTTGGAACTGGAGGAGGTTAGAGATAGGGAGGGGAAGGGACTGGAGGGGTTTAGAGAGGGGAAGTGGGGTGTCGGGTTTGGAGGCAATTACAGAGATGGGGAGGAATGTAGGGATTGGATGGGGTTAGAGATTTAAGGAGGGATGAGGGACTGGAGGGGTTTACAGAGATAGAGAGGTGAGCTGGTTCTGGAGGAGGTTACAGATATAGGGATGGGTGTAAAGACTGGACAGGATTACAGAAATAAGGAGGGTGTAGGGGCTAGAGGAGTTTACAGAGATAGGGGGTGTAGAGACTAGAGTTGGTTAGAGAGATAAGAAGTGGTATAGGGGCTGGAGTGGGTTACAGCAATGGGGAAGGGTATTGTTTTTCACTTACTTGTCTCTTCTCTTTCTGGTCTTGACAATGAAGTAAACTAGAATTGATAAGATGATGAGCAGGACAGCGCTTCCTGCAGCTATCAATCTGTATTTCTGTATCAGTTCCCATCTCATTCCTGCTGATAGTGAAGGATTGACAAAAAGCAATTGTTAATAATCTGATGAAACTTTCCTGAAATCCCCTGCACAGCTTCCATAGAATTTCCTTCCTTCTGACCCGGAGAGTCAATGGGAATCCCAACCAGTGTCAAGGGTCAGCCTTGTCCCCTGGCTCTCCAACAGAACAGAAGCAAATGTGGATAGGAGCAGTCCCTTCAGCTTTTTCAGTCTGTGCTGCTAATCAACACACCCTGTCCTACAGGAAGGGTCCCTAAGGAACTGATGTATTCTTCCCACACCCACACCCACACCGCCACCCACCACCCACCACCCCCCACCACCCCCCCTCCCCCCCCCACCTCCCCACCATTGCCACCTGCTGTCAGAGGCCCAGCTACATTCTATTGTGGCCCTCTAGGGTCTGCCATCCCTCCCAACAAATCCAACCATTTCAACATCAACCTCAAAGTCATTTCGTTGTTTTGGAGCCGTCTATCAGGTCAACCTTCAGCCTGCTTTTCAGTAGAAAGAGCGAGCTCTGGCCTGGTTAATCCTTCCTTACAGTAAGAATCTTTCAGTCTGGGGCTAAGCTGACAAACCTGATTTTCACCTTTTCTAGCACCTCTATATCCTCTCTATAAACGTGGAGACAGGAACTGTGCGCAGTACTCTGAATGTGGCCTAATCGAGGGATATGGAGACAGGAACTGTGTACAATGCCCTGCATGTCGATGAACCGAGGAATATGGAGACTGAAACCATGAACAGTGCTCTGAGCATGGTGTAACTGAGGGATAGAGAGACTGGAACTGTGCACAATGCTCCGAGTTGGGGGGGGGGGTGGGGGGGGGGGGGGGGGTGCAGGGTCTACCAGAAGGCTATGAGAAATGTACGCAGCGCCCTAAGTGTGGTCTGAATAATGTTCTATGCAAGTTTAACATAACTTTCTCACATTTCGATTCTACTTTCAGTTCTATGGCTAGAAATAGAAGTTTATCTTGGGTTTAATTTGTTAAAGATATGCCCATTCTGCAAGCAGTTATTTTCCAGTGAAAGTGAGTTTTCTTTTTGTTGCAACGAATCATTGCGTCATATTTCTGAAACGTGACACGAACTTAGTTTTGGTGACTGCTAAATGTGGGTCCTTTATCACAGGACAAATCTGAGGCATCAGCACAAGTACAGCGCAGCACTTCAGAACACAGTTCCTAGTTCCTAATAACAGGAGCTGGTCTCCGTCAGTCTGCAGCAAGACTCAATTCTGTGACATTCAGCCTGGCTGTCCCCTGGTCACATCAGGGGAGCTGGGGAGTAGAGCAGAGAGAGGTCGCTGACACTAACAGCAGAAAGCCTCAAGAGTGTGTGCATTGCTGTAGCCTCTCAGGAGGTTCAAAGTGCAGCAATCCCTCAGTACAGACCCTCAGAAAGTGCACGTCTCTGTCAGTACAGACCCTCCAACAGTGCGGCACTCTTTAAGCACTGACCTTCTGACTGTGCAGCCCTCCCTCAGCGTTGACCCTCTGACAGTGTGGCGCTCCCTCAGCACTGATCCTCAGACAGTGCAGCGCTCCCTCAGCACTGACCCTCGACAGTGCAGCACTCTCTCAGCGCTGACCCTCTGACAGAGTGGCAACTGCCATAATATTGACCCTCTGACAGCGTGGTGCTCCCTCAGTGCTGACCCTCCGGCAGTGCGACATTCCCTCAGCACTGACCCTCCAACAGTGCGGCACTCCCTCAGCACTGA